TTCGGACAAAGCAAACTTCTTAGGTACCTAAGTTGAAAAATAAAATCTGTATGATTATAATATAAAACTAGGGGTGTGTAGTATCATGCCTTAAGGCAAATTGCAGGAACGTTCGAAGAATATTGAATGTTTTCAAATAGATTATTATTAATATTGTAACATTGTCTTATATTTATAAGAATTATATAAACTGACTTGCAGAGTTGAAATTATTTAAAGTATAAAAGTGAACTTTAGAACCTTAGCAAGAATTAAAATTAAAAACTGAAGTATTTTCGATATACAAAAAAATTGTTTTGAAAAAAAAATGGAACAAAAAATTTTCTTCCAAAAGCAATTATTTTGTCAAAACAAGCAGAAAGTTTTTTGAATCATTCAAATCGTATGCTTAGTTGTCTCAAAAACTGCCATGTTTTTTATATTTAGCACCGTATCTCCGAAACGCCTGGACCTGCTTTTGCCTAAAATTAATCACCTCTTCTCCCAATTATTACAAATTGAATGTTTTTTGATCATTCAAATCGGATGCTCCGTTCACTCAAAAACTCGATTTCTATTTTCTGTACTCTTTGCTCTTTATCTCCGTAACTGCTGGACCTGCCTTTGCCAAAAACTAATCAGCTCATTTCCCTACTAGTAGAAATCGAATGTTTTTTGAACCATTCAAATCGGTTGATCCGTGCGCCCGAAAACGTCGACAAAAAATTGTATCGATAAATACATACATATACACACACATCCGTTTTTTCTGAGGTATGACAAAATGTTCAAAAACCTTCAAAACGTCGAGAAATGCAAAAATTTTCAATTTAGATTTTTGGACGATTACAATAACTTACCCGACGGGAAGTTAATGTTAAACTTTCTACATTCTGAAATAAATAACATAACTATTTTTTAAAATTACTAAAATATTACAAAAAGATGTTAAAAATTTAAAAATTCAACTACACAAACAAACACACGATTTTAGTACATACACATGTTTTAAAATTAGTTCAGAATTTTAAATGATATTTAATTTTTTTCTTTTATAACTGCCAACAGTAAAAACGGCTCAGTTGGGAAAACACTAAATAACTTGTAAGTTTTTTTAATTCAGTGCAGACATAAATGAGAAAATTTAAATAAAAGACGAAATTTCGACACACACATGCCCATCTTACAATTTTGGTCCCGAACGATTCAGAATGATTTCAAACTTTAAGAAAATAAAATTAGCAAATCGATTTTCTGGCAAAATAAAACTTTTCGGTATGTTGAACAATAAAATATGTATGATTATAATATAAAACTAGTGTCGTATAATAATTAGAATGTACATTTATTAATTTTTCATAGTAATAACATTTAATGACTTAAGTTATAGTAATGAGCCGAAAATCGAAAATGTAATTTTTTGCATAACTTCACTCTTCACGCTTTAAAGCCTAGACAATATTAGAAGACCCCGTGTTCATAATAGACGCTTCTCTCGCCCGATTTTTACGTTCAGAAGGAATACTTAAAGGGTCCTCCGCTCGACCTGATGGCGCTGCTTTTTGCACTCAAATTAATGGCGCAAAATTTGAAATGAAAATTAATGATTTTTAGTGCACGGGTATTTGAAACTAAATTTGGTATTACAATCCTATTAAGTTTTGTAATAATACAATAATAACAAAAATATACTAGATAATATTATATTATAATAAATATACAATCAAATCGAAATATAAATCAACAAATACACTGCAATACACCGGTTTATATATAATTAAGGTGTGGCACGAAGGACTTATTTATAAGATACAAAAAATATTGCCAGCATTGCTAAATTTTTTGAATCTTATTTGAGCAATAGACAGTTTTAAAATCAGAGTTGATATGGCATTAACTCCACCTAATATTATGAAAGCTGGTGTTCCTCAAGGGCAGCGTGCTAGGTCCTTTCCTTTATGTATTGTATACCCACGATTTTCCGACTGGACTTATCAACAATAGCAACTTTTGCCGACGATATTGCCATCCTAGCTGTAGATAAGGATCCAATTAGAGCTTCACATAAATTGCAATCCCACCTCAAATTATTGCAGATTGGACAAAGCATGGAAAATTAAATAAACGAATCTAAATCCCAGCACATATGCTTCACTCTGAGAAAAGATACATGCCCATCAGTATATTTTAACAATGAACTGCTACCGCAGTCTGAATCCGTGAAGTATCTTGGAATTCATCTAGATAGGCGATTGACTTGAAAACACATAAAAATATAAAATTCAACAAATTAGATTAAAATCCCAAGAGCTTAATGGCTTATTGGGAAACAGTCAAAATTGTCTATGAAAAACAAAATACTTATTTATAAGACAATACTCAAACCGATTTGGACATATGAAGCCGAAATATGGGGCAGTGCTTCGAAATCTAACATTGCAATGATTCAAAGAATCCAGTCAAAAACACTTAGGACAATAGCAGACGCTCCTTGGTATGTCTCAAATTATATAATTCATAACGATCTCCAAGTTCCATTTGTTCAAGAAGTTATTAATAACAGAAAAAATAATCACTTGTTAAAATTAGAGTTTCACTCGAATGATTTAGTAACATCTTTGCTCAATGTACCGCCAATGAGAAGACTCAAACGAAAATGGCCCACTGATACAACTTAGCACTTATTTGTAAATCTCTCACTGGAGAGATTCGAATACTATGATATTATTTCACATAATTATTCATGTTGTATATTGTTTGTGTTTGTATAGATGTATATGTATATGTAATTTTATGTTTGTATGTTTATTTGTAAAACTTAGCACAATAGCTTATAGAAATTTATAATTTTTGATTGCTGTTAATAAATATATTTAAAAAAAAAAAAAAAATATATATAATAGATATCACATCTAATCTACTGGAATAACTTCCACACTTTTTTCTACTTATTAAGATAAATATTTAGAGAAATTTAGTGAATAATGCATTATAGTGTTAGTTCATTACATCGTCTGTCATTCTTAACTCTCATTAATTAATAATCATCCCGTGCAAAATTTGACATTCTTAAGCAATTCATTTTTTCCCAAGTATATTCAGATCCGTGTGAAGTGGTAATCCAATTTAAACAGCTTGAAGATTTCTATTTGTGTAATATGTCTTTCTTGTTGAAGCTTATACTTGATTTCTCACATAATTTCCTAGAACTGGCCTCTTTCCTTAATAGTCCAGTCATTTGGTCGTCTTGCCGGTACAGTACTCCGGGAATTCTGAAAATTGGTAATCTTATAGATTTCGAGGTGCTCTTTACGGAAATCAACTTTGCCACCTCAAATTTAAACGGCAAGTTGCCGCCATATTGAAAAAATGGCGTCAAAAAACAGCTTTTTTAAAATATCTACTTTCTGGCTCAATCTACAATAAAAGTATCTATGTACAAATTAAACTAGAGAAAATTTCCTACAATTTCTTAGAAAACCGTTTTTTTGTAAAATTGATAGTTTGAGAGTACGGCCGCCTCAAAAACTTTGCTGCTCTCGCCGTAGTATCAAATCTGTCCATATATGACAGCACTTCGTACTTGACCACATTCTCTCTAATAATTAATATTTTCAATATTAAATTGAGCGAATAAGATCTAGAAATAAAATAATTCAAATATTTTTCTGTTTTTTTGCTGATTTTTTAACGCTTCAAGCTACTTGAAGCTATAAGGTGCTACTCAAGCTATAAGTATATTTACAGCTACTTTGCCATTGAAGTGTTAAAAAATTAGCAAAAAAAAAACGAAAAATATTTGAATTAGATCGCTTAAGATCTTATTCGCTTAATTTAACATTGAAAATATTAATTATTAGAGAGAATGTGGTCAAGTTCGAAGTGCTGTCATATATGGACAGATTTGATACTACGGCGAGAGCAGCAACGACTTTGAGGCGGCCGGACTCTCAAACTATCAATTTTACAAAAAAAAACGGTTTTCTAAAGAATTGTAGGAAATTTTCTCTAGTTTAATTCGTACATAGATACTTTTATCGTAGATTGAGCCAGAAAGGAGATATTTTAAAAAAGCTGTTTTTTGACGCCATTTTTGCAATATGGCGGCAACTTGCCGTTCAAATTTGAGGTGGCAAAGTTGATTTTCGTAAAGAGCACCTCGAAATCTATAAGATTACCAATTTTCAGAATTCCCGGAGTACTGTACCGGCAACAGCCTTTTTTTGCACCAAATGACTGGACTATAAAGTGTATTATGATTAGACTAATGTGTCACTGCACTATGTAGTAATTATGTCCTCCATATGAGTTTGAAGCTGTTCTATTCATATTGTCAAAGGGCTATGCATTTGAGAGCAATTCCTGATGAAATCTTTATTAACAAATATACAAACACAAACGAACAAGAATCGCCATTTTGTAAACTTACACAAAAATAACACTGACGTTTCTTCTTAGCAATCAACATAAAACATTTGAAAATACTTTTTCATCGGCTCACTAGCGCCAAATCTGCGACTACAAATGGACCCCTAAGTATTCCTTCTGAACGAGGATTTTGTTCTAAGTGAAAAGGCCCTGCTTTAAAGTATTCTAAACATTTTTGTTTTAAAAAAAAAATTGTTTGTATATCAAAAATTATTCAGATTTTAATTTTAATTCTGACTAAAGTTCTAATATGCTTTAAATAAATAATTTTAACTTTGCACTTCAATTTATATAATTCTTATAAATACTAGATAATGTCATGTATTTACAACAATCTATTTGAATAAATTTATTACTTCTCGAACATTTCGTTACGGTAAAGAAAGTTCCAGCAATTTGCCTTGAGGCACGATGCCATACACCACTAGTTACATAAAATATATCAGTAACAAACTAATAAAAACTTACAAGAACTAATCACCCTAACTAATCACAATATCACAAAATCATAATATTTCAAAATTTTATTACCCTTGTCATCAATCCCCCACTAGACTTGACCTTATCATCTGACATCGCCCCATCGGCCCGTTCGATTTTTTTGTTTAATTTTTTGCAAAAACAAAAGCCAGCCACTTTCGGCGTGCATCATTTATAAATGATTCGACAAATAACCAAATTCCTCGAAAACGTCTCCGCGAGTGCGTTAAAGTTCCAACGGGAATTCTACAAGGCCAAATCGAAAGAGTTCAGGATGCTCCTTCAGCAGATCTCGAGGAGCAGGCAGGGGACGATTTTTAAGAAGCAGCCTGCACTCTGGTGTCTGGTCGGATGTCTAGTAGGTAAAATGATAGATATAGAGGGGATTGGTTTTGGTGGAATTTATGGTGGTGTGACAGAAGGTTTTTTGGTCAAAAAATCCAAAATGGTGCTGGAAATATTATAGATTTCGTTGATTTGACAGTACCTATGGGGACAATTTTTGGATAAAATAGAAATGTTGTGGTAGTACTATGTTACAGGTCTATCTTCGTATGATTTGGTAGAAACAACCTGTCAAAATTCTATGTATTTGCTGTGCGATTAGGCGTTTTACAAATAACCTAACTTCACCCCAGAGGCATCAGAAAGTTGCCCAACAAAATCATAGCTTTTTGACGGTTCGTTACGATCAACTCATACGAAGATAGATCCTTAACATGGCATTACCGTAACATATTTATTTTATCGAAAAATTAGACAGACTTTTTTTGTAGGCAAAATTTTTGCAGAAAAACTATCAAAAGTTAAGAGATAATATTTTTTTGGGCAAACTTCATTCAAATAATTTTCGATATATATATATATATATATATATATATATATATATATATTAGGTTGTCAAATATCTCCCTTCCGCTTTTTTGCTCTTTTGGTTTCATAATACAACTTTAATTGTTGCAAACATACAACAGCAAAAAACTTTAATTGAACTAATTTGAAAGTATTTTGATGATTATACTAATAGTTAAATGAAAATATCAAAAACTTAACACTATTAACAAGAAAAGTTTAAAAATTGTAATATCTGAGAGTTCATTAGAATTGAAAACCAATTTTTGTACTACTAAATTAATTTAGCCTAATTATATGCGAAATTCATGCATATTTTTACTACAAGTTACTGCAAATTTTAATTACTATGAAGAATATAAAAATTGGTAATTATTTTACTGCAATTGTTTTTATTACACTAGAAAATTCAATAATAAAAAATAAAAACGTGAGTATACTTGGCACCTCGATGGTGGAAATTGGCAAAACTGGTATGACCTGATTTTTTGACGATTTTTTTGCTGTCGATTGGTGTGAACTAAAATTTTTTTGCTCTTTCCGTTTTCGAGATAAATGGGTGGGGCCAAATTCGGTGCTAACTATACGTATAGTCAACACCGACCCTTCTAGAAATGCAAAAAAATTAAAATTTCTTTTTACTATCGTTATCAGTGATATTTTTGCTGTCGCATGGTGCAATTAATTATTGGAAAAGTTTTACCCATCAAAGATTTTCACGTATAGGAAAATACCCGAATTTGCCAATTTAAAAAATTGTTAATTTTGAATATGCCAAATTTTTTTGCTCGCTTACTTAAATATAAAACAAAAAAAAATCAAAAAAATTATTTTTTCACCCCTTTTCAGGGAGGTTGCCAATTTTTTTTGGGTGTCACTTTTTCGAAAGTTTAAAAATTGTTTCGGAATCTGTGATTTTTTTGCTCGAGATTAATTGGCTCGTGACTAAACGAATGTACCCTGACAAATGCAATTTTTTATAATTTCATTAGACTTTATTTCTATAATAAATGTATAGTTTATTTTAGAATAATTTCTGTGTATTTGTTATAAGTATCGATACGTAAATTTGAAGAAAAGATTGTCTTACGACTAATTTAAAGGAATCAGAATATGATTTTTTTGAAATACTTCTAAGATTTTGATTTATTTAATACAAAAGTTATAACATTCATTGATTCAGCATGCAAACAATTGCAGTAGTAGAATAATAATGACAAACTAATTATAATTTGAATTTTACGCCGTGCTGGGTAAAAGTTTTTTTCATCCTTAAAATTTAAATTATACTTGTTTTGGCATTATTATTCTATTACTGTAATTTGCATGCTGAATCAATGGATTTTATACCTTTCTTATTAAATAAGTTAAAATCTTAGAAATATTTCAAATAAATCATAATCGGAATTCATTAACTTACAAGAAATGATTGATCCAAGTTTTCAAGTATTTTTAATATTTTATTTTGTTATTGGAATTTTTAACCTCCCGTAGGGTAAATTATAGTAATCGCAAAAAAAATCAAAAATGAAAATTTTTATATATCTTTACGTTTGAGAAGTTTCTAAATGTTTTGGTATGCTTAAAAAAATGGATGTATGTGTGTGTTCGGATACAAATTTTCAACGACGATTTCGGGAACACGGATGAAGCGATTTAAATAATTCAAAATAATTCGATCCGTATTGATAAGGAGACGTGCTGATTAGTTTTTGGCGACGGCAGGTTTAGTCATTTCGTAGAAACGGAGCAAAGTGCCAAAAACGGTAACTCAGTTTTTAAGAGAAAGGGGCGTTTGATTTTAATAATTCAAAAAACATTTTACTTGTATTGACAATATGAAGAACTGATTAATTTTTTGGTAAGGCAGGTCCAGCGGTTATGGACTCTCAATAAAAATAAGTTAAAAAATGTCATTTGGGGTTGAAAAATGTTTATTGACATATATACATTGAATTATCAGATATTTTATAGAGATTTTAATAATGTGTACACATTTTCTGTTAATTTTTTTGGGTTCCGTACCAAGATTTTTAATTGAAAAATGTCTATTGATATATATACATTGAATTATCAAATATTTTATAGATATTTAAATAATGAGTACTAATTTTGTGTAATTTTTTTTTTGTTCCGTACCAAGATTTTTAATTACGGTACAAGTACAAGTACAAGTACAGGTACAAGTTCCAGCAATTTGCCTTAAGGCACGAAGCCATGCGCCTCACTAGATAGGCAATAAATTTAAAAACAAACATCACAAACAGTTATTCAACTATGTTTAATTTTTCCCCAGGTGGTTTTAGTCTGGCCACTCTCAGCCTGGCCCGCACCGTCAAGAATCACCCGGACGTGTACCTAATCCGCCGCCACTCGGGCGAGGAGCGCTACTGGCGCCGATACACCAAACTGTTCGACGTCAACGGATCGCGCAAGTACTGTCCCGCACCGGACTTCTGAGATGATGGACAGAGATTCTTTTTCTTTTTTTGTTTAAATAATTTAAGTTGTAACTGACATTAATAGACACTGTAATGGATCATTGTAATAAACTTTAATTGGATTTAGAATGATTGGAATTTTTTAACTTCCCTTGGGGTAAGTTATAGTAATCGCAAAAAATTGAAAATGAAAATTTTTATATATATTTACGTTTCAGAGGTTTCTGAATACTTTTATATTCTGTATGTTCGGATACAGTTTTTAGTCCACTTTTCGAGATCAACCGATTTAAATGATTCCCAAAGATAGGAATATAGGAAGTCGTTGTTAAAGATTTGCCTTCAGCGATGGAGGTAATTTTGGTATTTTAAAACAACACAAGTTTTATACATTTATTTCAGAATACAGATATGTACTTCATTAAAGATTATTATAAGGTTATGTGTTCCTTTTGGAGTCCAGAGAGAGAGAGTGTGAGCTTGTCATGATTATAGAGGCCCTTTGTCCTGCCGGAAATATAAAGATGTGGACTCCATAGAGTAATAAATGTGATAATATGCACATAGAGGCATAAATGTGACGCGAAATAGATAAGAGTGTCGGCACCTAACATCGTGCTGGTTGAAGACAGGTCCAGCCGTTGCGTAGATGCATACCAAAAATGCCAAAAACTGCTTTAATTTTTGAGAGAACGGAGCTTCCGATTAACAATTGTGTTAGGGAAAAATGCTGATTAGTTTTTGGCAAAAGCAGGCCCAGCCTGTTATCTTATATCAATCTTACATAAAGTCAGTGATATGATATTAACTTCCCGTAGGGTAAGTTATTATATTGTAATCGTCCAAAAATCGAAATTGAAAATTTTTCCATTTCTCGACGTTTTGAAGGTTTCTGAACATTTTGGCATACCGCAGAAAAAATGGATGTGTGTGTGTGTGAGTGTACGTATGTATGGATACAAATTTCCAGTCACGTTTTCGGGCGCACGGATTAACCGATTTAAATGGTTCAAAAAACATTCGATTCCTATTGATAGGGAAAAGAGCTGATTAGTTTTTGCCAGAAGCAGGTCCAGCAGTTACGAAGATAAAGAGCAAAGAGTGCAGAAAATAGAAATCAAGTTTTTGAGAGAACGGAACATCCAATTTGAATGTTCTAAAAAACACTCAATTAGTAATGATTGGCTAAGGCAGGCCTAGCCATTTCGAAGATACGGAGCTAAATGTGCAAAAAATGGCAGTTTTTGAGAGAACTAAGCATCCGATTTAAATGGTTCAAAAAACTTTGTGCTTGTCTTAACAAAATAATTGATTGGGAAAAAAAATTTGAACAAAGACTTTCAGCTTTGCAATTCAGTTTATATAATTCTTATAAATATTAGACAATGTTACAATATTTATAATAATCTATTTGAAAACATTCAGTATTCCTCGAACATTTTGTTACGGTACCTACGGAAAGTTCCAGCAATTTGCCTTCAGGCACGATGCCATACACCCAACTAGTTCCTTATTTTGTTTCTAAAGTATCAGTAAATTATGTAGAGACTAGATTTTATATTTAACAATAAATTTAGTATGTATTTTAATAATAATTGAGAACTAAACAATGTTAAAATAGTTTAAAATTGTAATTGTTGTAATGTGATTTATTTGGAATTCTAAAATTACAATCTTAAAATTTCTCAATAAACTAAATATTGGAATAATGGTTGTGGTAGAAATATTGAAGTAATTTTTTGTCTAGAGTGAAAATATTAAGCTTAGTTTTTTAGAATTTTGTAATTTTTTTACTAAACTTATAATTGAGTATATAGAAAATGAAATATCGAATTCATGAAGAGGTTTCATTAGAAATTTTTGAGTTATTTGACAAAACCAAAAAAATGTCCCGAATTTTCTATATTCATTGCTAAAAGATGAAATATCGAATTCAAAGTCGTTCTAAACAGCAATCTAAAAAAATCGTCTGCCAACAATTTCCCAAGTGATCTTCAACAAAACCTTCTTTTTTCTCAGAAAATATGCGTCGTTGCACTTGCGTTTTCCTTGTAATTTTATAAAAATCGATTCGTTTTAATAGTGAAATCAATTCTAAGAAGCTGATCTAAATTTGCTGGTGTAATGGTTTTGCCAATGTTTGTTTCCTGAACAGAAGCAAAAGTGTTTTTGTGAATACAAAACGCAGTTGATATACATTTGCGCCTGCGCCTGAATGTTACGACATTTATATAGAGAACTCTGGTAGTACACTGTCAAAATTGGATGAAAATTTGTAAAAAAAATACAAATATGTTTAAAAAAAGAGTGCGCGTAAAATTCACGCGCGATTGAAGTAAAACTTATTTGCTACTGTAAAAGATGGCATTTAAGTAAAAATAAATACATCATATAACAATTTTGAATAATGTTCATTAGCAATATGGTAACACTCGTGATGCACACATTTATTAGTGTCGACCATTATACACATTTATATAATGATAAATTATAAATTATATATTTATAATAGCATTAAAAACATGTATAATATTTAAATAATGTAATCAAAGTCATACTTCAAATATGACAGGATCGGTTTGTCATTGCAATTAGCATTTAGAAATGTTCCTTCATTAGAGAAATCAAGTAATTGCTGATTAGTAACTTCTATAATATTCCTTCACACAGTGAATTATGTTAAACAACGCCTAAACAAATAGTGTTTTCGCAACTTCACTAATCATGTAATTGTGTTTGAAGAACTTCATGTAATTAAAATTAACATACATTCAATGACTGTTTGTATTTTTTTGCTTTTTTGCTGGCGATATAATCTCATTCTTTGACAGCTGTAATATCTGTCTTGCCTAAAAAATATTTTCCATTTTAATAAATTCAACGAATAATATAGAAATAATTTCTAATCAATAAACTTACGTTTAGTACACTGCACAAATGTTTAATTTGTTTTATTATTTTCAAGGAACAGGGTAAAATATTCTGATTCAGGCATTTTTTATTGAATCAAGATTTGTACTACGATGTAACTTTAAAATGTTTATTTATCTGTGCCGATTTGCTTGTTGATATCGATACGCATACAACGTTGATGCCGGTACGCATACAACGAGAGATCTATATTCACATAAACGACGACTAATCACAATCGACACGTATAGAAATGATATCATCAACAGCGAATGACAAATCATTGGCACTCGACTCGTATCTTATCTGCCGTAACGCAATTTCCGTTGCATTTGTACGGATTTACACTTTAGTCGCGCCTAAAGAAGATTTACTTCAAAGCTATTTATTTTTCTAAAGCAGAAATTCTAAAGGTCATTTACATATTTGCAAGAAATAGTTTTGGCTTTGCGATTCAAAGTTAATATTTTGTGAGAAAAATGAGATAAGGTCTCATACATAAAACTTACACTACATGGACTACAATTTCAAGAGCAATACGACATTTAATCAATCGTGAGTGTTCCACGGTTGTCGGCAACGCTCGTTTACTAAGTGAGGTCACAGTCTCATTCTATCTTTTCACACTTTATAAAATGGAAATCGTATGATGACTGTCAGTCAGGAGAAAAGACTATGGTCTCATCTCATGTCTTAAGCTCAAAGATATTTAAATATACTACAAAAATGGTTGGAAAAATAGAAAATAAATATTAATGAAGATAAATATGTACATGTAACGTTTACTTTACGTCACAATAGTCCCACAGTCTACCTAAACAGCAAACCTGTCCCAAAATCAGATGTGGTAAAGTACTTGATTATGCATCTAGATAAGAAATTAACATGGAGACATCATATTAATAAAAAAAAAACAAATTTCACAAAAAATGAAAGAATTATATTGGCTAATAAACCGAAACTCTAAAATATCTGCAGAGAACAAATTACTCTTGTATAAGTGTCTTGTATTGAAACCAATTTGGATGTATGGCGTAGAGTTATGGGGCACTGCTTCAAAATCAAATATTGCAATAATAGAAAGAATGCAAAATAAAATTCTAAGATCAATTCTAAACGCACCATGGTACGTGACAAACTTTACAATACACAACAACCTGAAAATGCCTTAGTTATTAATTCTTAATTCATAGAAATAAATTAGAGACCCACCCAAACCCAATAGTTGCAGAAATCTTACTACCGTATGACAATAAAAGACTGAAAAGGATATGGCCATTCGATTTTATGTAAACTGAGTGAGATATATCACTGGATTATCTTATATAATATTATACTTATTTAAATGTATAGTTTAGATCATAGAAATTATTTTTGTATTTCTGATTGCTAAAAAAAAAATAATCCCATGCCTTCACTCTAATCGGATACCACTTCTGTTAATACTTATATATAAGTCTATAAAATATGAATAATAAAATTTTTGTATTTATTAAAATCTTTGCTTAGTATACTAATACAAATAACAACTTGAAAACTAGCTGTAAGTGGAATTCTGTCTTGAGGCAATTATGGCATCGTGCCTTAAGGCAAATTGCTGAAACTTCCCGTACCGTAACGAAATGTTCGTGGAATACTGAATGTTTTCAAATAGATTATTATAAATATTGTAACATTGTCTAATATTTATAAGAATTATATAAACTGAATTGCAGAGTTGAAATTATTTGTAAAGTAATAAAATCTGAAATATTTTCGATATACAAAAAACTAAAAAAAAAAAAAAAAATTGGAACAAAATTTTTTTTTCCAAAATCAATTATTTTGTTAAGACAAGCTTAGTTCTCTCAAAAATTGCCATTTTTTACATATTTAGCTCCGTATCTTCAAAATGACTGGGCCTGCCTTTTCCAAAAACTAATAAACACTTCTCCCAATCATTACTAATTGAATGTTTTTTAGATCATTCAAATCGGATACTCTGTTCTCTCAAAAATTCGATTTTTATTTTCTGCACTCTTTGCTCCGTATCTCCGAAACGGCTGGATCTGCCTTTGCCAAAAACTAATCAGCTCTTTTCCCTATCAATAGGAATCGAATGTTTTTTGT